GCGAGCTATTTCATTCTGCCTTTAAAGTGAATCGGTCCCCTTCTGGTTTTTTCCACCTTACAGCTCGTCCTAATGTAGGGCTATTTAGAGGTCTGACCAACGAAGTACATAATTGGCCAAACCGCTTCTTATTTGTTCGCTCGCCCACTCCTTGGGGTTTCAATCCGTCGTATGTCGAGACACCCCTCGCCATGTAGGGGTGTCTCCTTACTGTCTCGAGACCCTCTCTCGCCTATCCGCTCGCACCCCCCCCCCCCAAGTTGTGGGATGTTGAAAAGATAATTGATTCCCCATCCCTTTTTGCCCGTGCTGGACTGTGTGTGGGATATGTCATCGCCTGATCTTTGCCCGCTGGGTATTTATTAGGGCTGATTTCCATATTTTGTTTTCATTACTTTTATGTTTGCTACTTATAGCCTTCCATTACTAACCATTGTTGCTTGTCTGCCATGTATTCTGTATTAGACGAGATGATTCGAGATGCTATGAAGGCAGCTCTCGAGAAGCAGCGCGCCCAGTCCTCTCGCACTCCCTCTAAGTCCACAAGTCACGCCCCTCCTACTCGCATTCCGTCCCCTACTACAGCAGCTGCGAGCACGGCGGCGGGATCAGCCTCTCGCTTTGAGACCGTGCAGGAAACCCCCACTGTCCCGCCGCCCTCTGTCCTTTGGGAGCCTGTGATTGATCTCGGCATCGAAAATGCCGACAATCAGAAGGCCCACGGCTCTTTCCGCTCGCTGGAGCAGACGCACCATGATGCGGGTCGCGCTAAGTGAGATGCAAGTGGTGAGCATACCTCCATGATGTCCAAGCGGCGCCGTGCGGAGGACAAGGGCTTCATGTCGTCTCTCTTGCCTAACCGCAACATGAATGAGCTATCTCAACACTTCAGCCAGGTGAAGCTCGTGGAGGATGCCCAGGCTCTTGAAAGCATGTCTCACGAATAACAATACTCTCGCCTGCTATTCCATTGCTCCCAGGTATGTGAACTTTCTCCTTGGATTTTAGCGTATATTTATTCATTTCCGTTAATTGTTAACTTACCTGTTATATTTTCTTGTATTAGATCAACATCCTCCTTGCCCACAGCCTCGGCTGGACTGATCCCACTCGCCAGGCTGAAGAGCTCGCCTTCATGAAAAGTCTAGCTAACGAGAAGGCCAACGAGGTGGCCCGCCTACAAGACATGGTACGCGAGTTGACCAATGAAAAAGATGAGATCGCCCGCTTGGCGAACGAAAAATACAATACTATGAAGTCTTCGCTTGAGAGCAAAGTTGCCCGCCTGCATGCCGAGATAGAACAGTTGATCTCTATCTCTCGACAGAAACAGGAGGTCGTGGAGGCGGAATGTATGAGGACTGTAGCTTTGGAGCGTGCTAGGAGCTTGTACGACCACTTATGCTCGATAGATGGACAGGATTTCCTACGAGGATATCGCGAGGGGCTGAGCCGCAAATATCCTTCGTCCGCACATTTTGCCATTGGGGCCCCAATAGGCGTAGGTTTCATGGATCGAGGTATTCGAATGTATGCAGCTCGCCATAATCTTGACGATCCTTCTAATGAGATCAGCGCCATTCTCGATCTGCTGGGCGACAAGATCCCTGGATGGGAAGGGAATCCTTCTGACCCTGTGGATCATGCTTGGTGGGCAGGTGTGCTCGAGGGGATGCTCGCGGAGTTGAACAAGTATGCCGCCCAAGCTCCTTCTAATATGGCTCGTCTGGATCCTACTTGTTCTAATTCTACCCTCATCGATATCCATCCTTCTTGAGGCTCTTTTTACTTTTTTTTTATCATAATTTCATTTCCTGCAAACAATGTCATATATGAACAATGCTTATTTTGCTTTGATCATTTGTCAAATTTGTTTTTTTTTTTTTTGCATGAAGTTTTTATGGATGTTTAACACGTTATAGCTCGCACATCATTATTTTCCTTTTATATTGCTCTTTGAGTGTTTTATCCATATCTATACACTTCTTTATGCCACTCTCTCGCGGTCGGTGCCCCAGAACAAGAAAATCCTTCTTCTCGGATCATCTTGTTCGTTTCTTTCCCTTTTCCTTAGGTTCACTCAGTATTCGTGCACGTGCATTTATTTGTGTATCTCGCGTACGCGTATTTTTTTGTTTTGTTTGGGTGCTTTCTCGCCTTTACTCCGTTCATTTAAAAATTTTCGTTCGTGCGATTTCGTTTGTATGGGCTTTTTCAACCACATACTTTCTCACTCGTTCGTTTAAAATTTTCTGTTTTGTGCGCTTTCGGATGTATGGGCTTTTTCTAGCACATACTTTCTCGCTCTTTAATTTAAACTTTTTCGTTTCGTGCGCTTTCGGATGTATGGGATTTTTCTAGCACATACTTTCTCGCTCGTTGATTTAAAATTTTCGGTTCGTGCACTTTCGGATGTATAGGATTTTTCTAGCACATACTTTCTCGCTCGTTCGTTTAAAATTTTCCGTTAGTGAGCTTTCAGATGTATGGGCTTTTCCTAGCACATACTTTCTCGCTCATTCGTTTAAATTTTCCGTTCGTGCACTTTCGGATGTATAGGCTTGTTCTAGCACATACTTTCTCGCTCGTTCGTTTAAAATTTTCTGTTAGTGCGCTTTCGGATGTATGGGTTTTTTCTAGCACATACTTTCTCGCTCGTTTAAAACGTTAATTAATAGAGTGTATACATCTTTCAAGACAGATTTCCAAAAGAGGCTGCGTCATACTACTGTGTTTGTTACTAGAAAAATGATTCATCCTACCCTTAAGCAGGATAAACAAGCAAAAGATGGTCTATTCATGTAATACAAAATATTATAACACTTCATGTTATATATAATATTTTTTCAAATGACAAACGTTCCAAGCACGAGCTAGTCTTGCCCCTCCATATCTTCCAACCTGTAGGCACCTCCTGCTAGCACCGCTACTATTTTGTATGGTCCCTCACATTTTTCCATTAGCTTGCCCAGTGCTTTGAGGGCATCCGTCTGTTTCAAGACCAAGTCCCCTACTTGGAAAATTCTCTGTTTTACTTTCTTGTCATATGCTGCTTTAAATTTGGCCTTGCTGAGCTACATTCTGTCTCGCGCGCTCTGTTGCTTTTCCATCACCAAATCCAGCTCCTCGCGTAAACGCATGCTATTAGATGTTTCTTGAAAATTCATAACTCTACTCGACGGTAACCCCACTTCTACTGGGATAACTGCTTCTGAACCGTACACCAATGAGAACGGACTTTCTCCAGTCGCCTCTTTTGGCGCTGTTCGATATCCCCATAGCACCGCGTGCAACTCCTCGACCCAATCTCCCTTTGCCCCCTCCAGCTGTTTCTTAACCCCTTCTAGCAATACTCGGTTAATCACCTCGACCTGCCCGTTCGCCTGCGGATGAGCCACGGCTGCAAACCTCTGTTTAATGCCCAGTCATGTGCACCACTCTCGTATCCTAGCCGAATTAAATTGCGTTCCATTGTCCGAAATGATATCTCTAGGCAACGCATATCTACAGCAGATGCTCTGCCATATGAATTTCATGACCTCTGTATCTGTTATTCTTGCCACCGCTACTGCGTCCAGCCACTTAGAGAAGTAATCTACAGTCACTATTAAGAATTTTCTCTGTCCCTTGGCCGACGGCATATGGCCCACAATATCTATCCCCCATTGTGCGAAGGGACATGGGGAGGTTATTATCGTCATATCCTCTCTTGGCGCATGAATCAGCAGGCCATGCCTCTGACATTTATCACATGTTTTGACAAAATGTCCCGCATCCATTCTTAACGTGGGCCAAAAGTATCCCGCTCTTAACACACGCGAGACCAGCGCTCTCCCTCCCGCGTGGTCCCCGCAGTATCCTTCGTGTATCTTGCGTAATTGGCCCTCCTCCGTTGTTAGGCATCTAAGATGCGGCCTTGTGTACCTCTTTTATAAAGTATGTCCCCGTTTAAGCATAACTGTTTTGCTCGCTTCTCCAAGACCTTCTGCGCGCGGCTACATGCTAAAACATTCCCTTGTAGACACGCTCTTATCTCAGTGCGCCAATCTCCCCCGCTCCTCTGGCCTTGTGGTCTCTTGTAGGAAATCGGCAAGGGCTTGTCCCTTTATTGCGGTTCGTGGCTCATAATTGAAAGAGGTAGAGAGGGTTCGGTGTGGCCTTATCAAGAAGTTGGAGCTGTCGCTCAATAGGTTTGAGGGAATAAAGGTGGCTGTAGATGAGAGGTTCAAGGAGATAAGGTCGTTGAAGACTGAGGCTAAGAAATCGCTCAAGCCTATTTTGAAGGAAGCCGATTTCGTTCAAGAATCATTGGAGGAACTGATGAAAGAGTTTGAAGAAATGGTAAACAAGTTTAATGCATTCCAGCAGGACAAAAAGCAAAAGTTGGAGGTCAAAGAGCGAGAACTTAGTGTTATGAGAAATGAACTTCTTGAGGAGATCAAGTTGAAGGATGAAAAACTGGTTGAGAGGTTAGAGGAGATCGAGTCCCGGGAGATTGCGGCCCAGAAATCGTTGTCTGATGGTTTGAAGGAAGCGGATTTGATTCGAGAATCATTGGAGAAAGGGTTCAATGAGTTTGAGATAATGGAAACAGATTTTAATGCATTCCGAGATGACAAATTGCAGAGTTTGGAATCGAAAGAGCAGCAGCTTCGTGTTATGAGGATAGAGCTTCTTGATGAGGTCCAGTTCAGGGAAGAAAAACTGACGGAGAGGTTAAAAGGAGATTGATTACTAGGAGTCTGTGGCCCATAATTCATTGACTGCTCATTTGAGTGAAGCATATTTAATTCAGGACTCGTTGGAGAAACGGTTCAAAGAGTTTGAGGAAATGGAAAAAGAATTTAATTTATTCCAACATGACAACGCGAAAGTTGGAATTAGAAGAGCAACGACTTAGTGTTACGAGGATAGTGCTTCTTAAGGAGGTCGAGTTGAGGGATCAAAAGGCAATTTAGCAACAGAAGTTGGCGCAACATCTTTTGAAGTGTTTAGAGAAAATGGTGGGTAAGAAGGTGACGGAGATGGATGCTCAGGAACTACCTCTCGATGCTGCAAAGGAAACTGAATTAACAAGAGATTCAACAAATATGCAGGTTCAAAAACTTGAGAAGTGGGCGAAGGAATTCAAATCATCCCAACAGAAAAAAATGAGAGAATTGGAGGTAGCAGGTGATAAATTGAGATTGATTAAAGAAGAGCTTAGCCTGGATGTAAACTTTCGAGAGGAGAAATTCGATAAGCAAGAGATTGGTGCAAAGGAGATAGAGTGTATTTCCATCAAGGATTGTGTTCAGGAGGAAGTGGAGGGACTGGAACCGAAAGCAAAAGAATTTAAGGAACCCGAAAAGGGAATTAAATTAGAGGAATATGCTGAAAAAAGGGCGTAACAGTCGAACCAGTCGACCCGCGATGTGAAGTGCATGATAGAATAATTGTGGAACTATTTATGCACAACACTGAAAAGGACTTGGAATTTTTTAGCGATGAGGTCTTTAAAGTTCTTCTCCGCTCATCTGATCCAGCAAAGTTAATTTTGGAGGCCGTAGTATTGTTTTGCGCACCGCCCTACGTGAAGGATGGAGATATAAAGATCGACATACAGGAAAGGGGCATTGTTCTGTTGGACCAGTTGACCAAAATGTCCCCAGATATTCTGCGATGTGGTAGAGAAGCAGCAATTCTAGTTGCTAATGCATGGACGTCGAAAATGAGAACAAGTGCTGAAAACCCATTGAATGTATTGGGCTTTTTGCATTTCTTGGCTGCATACAAAATATCCTCCTGTTTTGACAAAGACGAGATTTTCGGTTTTCTAAAATCGGTGGCCGAACATAATCAGACACCCGGTCTCTTCCGCGCCCTTGGTCTCACAGAGAATATTCCTGGTTTTATCCAGACTCTTATAAACGAGAAGCATTATCTACTAGTCAGCACTTACATCTACGAATGTCAACTTGAGACCATGTTCCCACAGACGGCGTCGTTTGATCCGTATGGATTCGTGGTGGGTTATTTTAAAGAGATCGGCTGGCCTGATCTTGGGCCTGGATCCGTGAATGAACCTACAAAAAAAAGAGAATCCGGACTTAGGTCGGAGTTAGCACTCCGACGGCCAAGTTAGTAGCTTCTTGAGGAAAAAATTGTACTTGAATATATTGAGTGTGTATAAGATATTATTATTATTATTCCTGTTCTATTAAGTCCCCATATTTATACTAAAAGGGTCGGACGCCAAAAACTCCTCCATTCTAATTTACCTGTCCAATCGCTGTAATAAAATACTACGGATTTCAAATTACCTTCAATACTATTTAATCAGTCCTTTCTTTGGCTGTTGTTTCTGCAAAAGGAAGAGGGCACGAACGACATTCCTTTGTGCTTTTCAGGAGATTAGACGTACATTAATTACCCCCACGTGCAGCTGGTAGCTATTCGGCGAGTGGACCCATACAGCTGGCGAGAGGCCTAGCGAGAGGAGCCGCACCTTCCCCGTGGCTCTTTCAGTCTCTCGCCAGGAGAGGTGCTAGCCATCTGGACCTTCCTTAGTGGGCTTTCGGAGTCCTATGGTTTTAATTGGACCGTTTGAGCTAGAATTTTGACCTTGATGATTCCTTGGGCTTAACCGGGCCCATTGGCGGGAATGGGCCGGATCAATGTTGTTTCGTCGTATCCGTTTTCCTGCATCATTGTTTCTGTTTCCGTACTACATAAGGACCAGGGGCGAGTCCACCCCTTTGGGAGGGTGGACTCAAGCCCACCCTTAAATTACATTTTTTTCCCTATTTTATACCTATATATCTATTAAGCCCAACTAATTTTTATTAATTAGCCCACCAAAAATACAAAATAATGCCAAAAAAGCCTCAACTATTGTTAATTAGTTCACCCAAAATTCAAATTAATGCAAAAAATCCTTTTCAATTGTTTTATATATCTATTTTCTGAATAGTCACAAAAAAATCCTATATTTTTATCGGGAGCGCTACCCCCATATTTCCAGGAAATTTTAGCCTACATTTTATCACATTTCTGGACTCACCACTGATAAGATCTAATATTTACTTTGACCAAATTGTAAATAATTTTGATACTCCAGGGCCAAATGTGTAGTTAGAGCAACTCCAATGCTAAATACAAAATTGGATTATCAAATACCCATTTGATATTTAAGATAATATTTTAAAATACATTTAGAACTCATCTACTCCAACCATGTTATCACATTTTATTATCAATTGGAAGTTTTTTGATAATTTTATATGTAATTGCCACATGTCAATTTGTAAATGGTTGGTAAGGTGGTTATTTTTTTAATAACTCAATCTGCTGGATGTTTTTTTAGATTGTGAGAAATATCAAAATACAAACTTATTTTAATAAATCCTTTGTAGAACAATTTTTTAAAATTTTAGAAATATCATTTAGTTCATTTATATATTTTTATATAGTATTATAATGTGACTATAAAGTGGGAGTAGGGGAAACGGAGTAGTTGCGAGTTGCGACAACGTGTGTGTGTGAGAGAGAGAGAGAGAGAGAGGAGAGAGAGGGAAGAGAGAGAATTGGGGTGCGTTATCGTCAAAGCAGCGGGAGAGAGAAGAGCTGGTGGGCCCCATCACGTAGCGAACGTGAAACCGCCTTTAACCGCCAGCTATTTCCGTTCTGGCACTCCCCCACACACACAAACAAAACGCACACAGTTTGACAACTCTAACCCCATATTTCCGCCACGTAGACTTAATCCTCCTTTCATTGGTCCACGTGTTGTCCATCCCGCGTTCTCTTTCTCCACGTTTCGCCTCGCCCTACACTCTCTTTCCAAAAGTCTTAACTACCCTCCAACCAAACGCCCGCGGAGTAGATGCCATTTATTTATTTATATATATTAAAGAAAAAAAAACAGGATAACAAATTATCAATAGTTAATCGGAATTTTTATTTTTTTACAATAACTTCCAACACATACTCCCTTTTTCCATAAAAACTTATTTTTTTAAAAAATATTTTGTTCATCTTATCTGTCTTTTTAGATTTTCAGTACTGCTTAGAGCAACTCCGCCGTGGTTATCAAACATGGTATTCAAACCATTAATCACTATTTATACACCAAAAAATAGAAATTTTTAATTACAATGGAGTTATCAAATTAGGTTTCTATTTTGATAATTCAACTTTTGGAATGTAAAAATACTTGCTGGAAATTGAGTTATCAAAAGTATAACTATCTAAACATCCAATTAAAAGTGGACATGTGGCAATTGCAAATAAAATCACCCATAAATTTCCAATTGATAATTAATTTGATAACCATGGTTGGAGTAGCTGAATTTTAAATAATAGTAAAATATTAACTCAAATATCAAATAAATATTTGATAGTTCAATTTTGGTATTTTCAATTGGAGTTGCTTTTAATTACTTAATTTTTAGTTTATACCCTTGTTAACTATTTCTAATACCTTTTTTTTAATTTTAATTCATTTCTCTCTCTGCTTCTTAATTATAAGATCAGATCATTTTAGTTTAAAATATACATTTTTCATATAATCTAAATCAAGACACATTTAATGAAATTCTTAATCCATGTGCAAAGCAAAAAACGACTATTAAAAGGAAACGGAGGGAGTATTAATCATATTAATCCTAATAATACCTTTATTGAAGTTGCTCTTATGGAATAATAGTATTCCTTTTTATTTAATTTTCAAATGTATAAACTCTATTAAAAATGTTTTGAGTTAATTTTTCATGGATATTAAAAAATACAACTGTTTTTTAATTCCATTCCAAGAAGAACATTCATGAAACATTTTTTTTCATGCACGTTAAGTTTCGATTATGAATAGTTTAATTATTTTTAAGTTATATTTGGTTCTTTGAAGAATCATCATCTCAAAAAAGTACTAAGTATTTTCATAATCCTATTTTTCGGCCAAAACTAAATGTATTGCATAAATGGAGGGGCCTCGTTAACAATCTTGTTGGCCATAACAAGGAAAAAAATATCCTTCTTTATAAATATTTACAGAAATATAAATAATTTAGTGAAAAATAATCTTAACTATATAACTATTTCATTAGAAAACTCAATTCTTAGGCAGGGAAAATAAATACCAAAATATCATGCTAAAATGTCAAAACAGTCAAATTTCAAATAACTCCATAAAAAGAGCTAATTTGAGGGACTA